GGAGTTCGTATGAAGGAGATATGAATTTCCGAAGTTTATTAAATAATTAGTAATTAAAATTAATTATTAAACCCCGGCATTATCCGAAGAGGAGTCAGCGGTCCGATCCGAAGTACCCCCCGTGTACTCGAGTATGCCCCGCGTACATCGAAGATGTCGACACTCGCACTCGAGGACTTCGGATGACGAACGCAGTGACGATTTCGGACCAGTACGCCCCGCTGTTCCCGAGCCGAAGCTCTGCCCGCGAGAAGTTCGATTTTTGTGGAGATCTTCCAGATCTACCGAAGAATACTACTTCTGCAAGTCGTAGTGCTGTCCGATCATCTTCTGATCAAGTGGAGTGTATACTACCTTTCATAAACACGATAATAATACAAGTATGGTTTTAGTGTATTAAGTTTATTGTTGTTTATATGTGTGAGTGTGTAGTTACTTTCTTCTAACACATAAATATGACGTATTTTCTATGAGATACGTGCTACGTGTTTATATGTTATTTGTCTATTTGAGATGGGCACGGAAATTGGAGTTTTATACAGGTGTTAAATGATTTAAACTGTGTAAGTATTTATATCTACAAAATTGTTGGGTAGAACATAGGTAGATAGAATAGTTGGTGACTATGGAGTTAGCGCCTATTGTATAAACTTTGGTGACGATGTGACTTCGTGCCTATTTGAGTAAGCCTTGGCGACTATGGAGTTAGCGCACGTTGAGTAAACTTTGGCGACTATGGAGTTAGCGCTTGTTGAGTAAACCTTGGCGACTATGGAGTTAGCGCTTGTTAAGTGAACCTTGGTGACTATGGAGTTAGCGCCAGATAACTATGGATTTAGTACTTGATAAATAAGCTTTGGCAGCAATGGAATTCGTGCCAAATTCCTTACGAATAAATGAATGAAGGATAGTTGGTTCTTAGGGTAAAACCTTAAGAAGATAATGGGGATGGGTAATTGGGTTGATTATTTGCTGATTACATATAATAATTATATTATTGTGGGTTGAAAACCCTATATGCTCACCAGGCTCCCAAGCCTGATCCACTCAGTTTTCTTTTCATTACAGGTAATGGCACAAGAGTATAAGTTGGTGGACCTGACGAGAGATTTTGGATTATAGATCAATAGTCATAAATAACTGTTGTAAGATTTATTTTATATTGTTTATGCTTTTGGTCTGTATCGAACATGACATCCCAAGGTTTTATTATTTAATGAAAATACATTCTCTTTGAGAAATGTTTTGATAAATTTTATCATATTTTATTTTGGGAACAAATTCCGCAACTCTTTTAATCAAAAGATTACTCTGATTTTATAAAACAAAGCATAAACAAATCGGTCTTTTCTGGCCGTGAAATTGGGGATGTCACACAATATCATCCAATCCTAGTAATGATTTCCTCTCAAGTGCTCTGAAGACAGCCCTATTCCCATGCAATTGTAATCCACGACCGCCACTATTATTAGGTTCCAATGACTCCTCCATGGCCACCACTGTTATCAGGTTCGAATGTCTCCTTTATCTTATCAATGCCAAATTGGATTCTGTTTGTCACAATTTGAAAATCAAACAAGTTAATAATTGAGAAGAAGTGTATTTATGCTTGGTTAAAGAATAAACAGTTCATATTCTAAACTAACCTCCATGATTTGTGTTGATGGAGCTAAAACACAACACCAATCAATAGAAAGAAGATATGTTTATAATCAATTTAAATGAATAGAGATTAGTAAAAAAAATATTAAAATCGCTACATAAAAACTATAGTTCTAAACTAACCATCATGACCTGATCTAATGCGGCAGATGTAGGTTTTCAAAATTGTACTTAGAAATCAATAATAAGAAGAAATTGAGAAGGCAGATGGAAGTACCAGGAACACCATTAATGTTCGTAAGTGGAGAGGCGTTGGATGTGCCGAGTTAGGAACATAACATTGATCAAGAAGAGATTTTGGTTTTAGGGTTTATAATTGGATTCTTGTTAAGAATATAGCTGATTTAAACACGAATCCACAATACAAATATTAAGAAGATGAAAAAAGATTTCATAGCTTTATTGGTAAGATACTAAGTGAATAAAGAAACCTTGAAGCAGAACAATTGAGAGGGATGGACATTACGCGGGAAGACTTCAAACCGAAAGCTCAATTTCTCGGGCCTTTATGGGTTCCAAAACTTCGCTACTAACATCTAAGAAATACTAAAGTCCGGCCCTGGGTCCTTCGGAAAATTTGAGAAAGAAGTGAAGAAGTTTTGTGAAGAAAAGTGATAAAAAAGTATATATAGCCAAACAGGAAAGCCGCGCTGCGCCGCGCCTAGGTGAGCTGTGCCCTGCCCATGTTGTAGCTCCTATCCATATCGTCTGAACTTGGGAAGGAAAGGTCTATTCTGATCGCGACACGTGGCGTTGATCCAGGTCGTCTAAGTTTATATATTTTTATAAAATTCATAACTTTCGTATACAATCTCCGTTTTCAATAGTTTTTATATCTACACGTAGCTATTGATAACTACTACAACTTTCATTTAGACTTTTTCGACTAGTTCTCGTTTTGTAATTTGTGTTTCAGTTCGAGGTGGCTTAGATTATAAATAACGTTGTGAAATTCATAACTTTTCATACAAACTCCGTTTTCGACGTTCTTTATATCCTTAATTTTGTATCGACGAGTACTACAACTTTTATTTAGACTCCGTCAACTAATTTTCATTTTATTTCAATTTTATAAATTTGAATATATTTCGCCACGTTTCGCAACTTAGGGACCAAGTTTCGCTTATGTCATTCATATACGAGCTCTGTTCTCGACTGTCTTTATAACAAAAAATCCGGATTTACGAGCTCTTCAACTCTCGTTTACATTGTTTTAGCTAACAATGAATCAATTTTAATTTCAATTTTTGTGTCGCACACTGTTGTACTGTGTCACATTTGAAACTTCGAAAAATCATAATTTACTCATACGAAGTTAGATTTTTACGTTCTTTATATCGACGCGTTCCTATTGGCGAGTACTTCGACTTTCACTTATAATACTTTGGCTAAAAACCACCTTATCTCCGGTTAGGGCTGTCAAAAAAACCCGAACCCGATTAACCCGATCCGACCCTAACCCGATTAAGGTATTTAGGGTCGGGTTTTATAGGGTCAAAATTCTTAATCGGGTTATTCGAGTTAACCCGCCAAACCCGAACTATAGTTAGGGTCGGGTTTAGGGTTGATTTTTTTTATAAAAGTCAGGTTTCGGGTTAACCCGATTAACCCGAATAAAAATATACTACAATATTTATGTATTTTATTCCACCTCACATCTTCTATTTTTGTACATTATGTGGCCTAAAAGAGGAAAATAAGAGGCAACACAATTGTAGAACAAAATATTGATTTGTACAAATGGAAATTAATATGTAGCATAGTAAAATAATATGCAATGGTAGTTTATCGTGACCTAAAATAAAAAATACATAGTCACAAATCAAATGAATAATGTTTTTTACTTGTATAAACAAGAAAAATAAACCATATGCACTCAAAGTCATTTGGATTTAACACATCCTAATTTAACGTTCTGAAAATAAACATTATTATAAATATGACACAATATTTTTGTCTTACATTGTAACCCGATTAACCTGATTAACCCGACCCTATAAACCCGAAACCCGAATCCCCGGATAACCCGTACCTTAATAGGGTTGGGTTCCGGATGAAAGTATTTTTTATAAAAAAACCCGACTAACCCGATCCGTTTAACCCGAAACCCGATTCGGTTGACCCGATTAACAACCCTATCTCCGGTTCACTTTTTATGACGCACAATACTGAATCGGTTTGAACGCGAACTTAGATAAATCATAACATATTTATACGAAGTCAGATTTAAACATTCTTTATATCCACAAAATTATCATTACGTCTACTACAACTTTTATTAAGATTATTTATCTTAAATAATCTTTTATTTTTATTCTTTATTTTATCGTTTAACAATAATTTAATATTAAGATATTCTATAAATATTATATATTCATAATATTTATTCACACATCATGCATACAATAAATATTTATTAGTTTGTAACGCATATGAAAAACAAATACTCTAATCAAGAATTTTAATTGTTCATTAAAATGTATAATTATTATTATTATTATATTTTAAACATCTAGTCCAAAATTGTAATGTGTTCCTTGATTTTTCATTACCTGTATAAATTATGAATAATATTTTTTTAACCATAATTTCTATGGGTTTTAAAATAATAATAATAATAATAATATCACATGCTAAATAATCAACAAAACAAAAGGTCCAAACACAACATCGTAAGTTGTAACCAGTTTAAGGAAGAGTAGCCTACAAGAAAAACAAGATGAAATTTGTGTTATTTTAGGGCTAAATGTGCAAATAGGCAAATAGTCGAAGTGGCATTTGTGTAACTTTCTGTATCCTTTAATATTCACGCTGACAGAAGCACAACATTTGATTGTTGATGCAACTGCAAGAACAAAATCCTAATTCTTTATCTCCCATGCCTCTGTGCTGCTGCGTTTTTTCTTTCTAAATTTCTGTTGCAGAATCCCAGATTTAATTCGTTTGATTTGGGATCAGTTGTCGAGTCTTTTCGTCGTTTAAACCCCTCGATTCCGTGAATTAGGGTTTCTTTTCTTTGGGTTACCATGTTCGATTGAATTGATTGGAATTGCTGAATTTTTTGGGGAATTAATTGATAATTCCGAATTCGAATGAGTTGTTTCGGAGGCTGTAGAATGTTTATCTGTTCTAATTATCTCAATTAACGAACCATTCTTTCATTATATTAGCTTGGCGGTGGGTCGCAAAATTCCCACATTCTTTCTATCTGAATCGATAAATCTTGATACGTTTTTGTTTCTTTCTCCCCCAAACCGGACTAAAGTTAGGGTTTCTATTGAGATTTCTGGTATGAAAAGTGGGTTAACGATGGATAAGTTTTACGGTCAGGGAAGAAGATGATTGAACCGATGGTGCGATCAAAAATGCCGAATGTTAAACGCTGCAAATTGGAGGAAATTGATGCCGATACGACAGATGATTCACATCGTCATTACCCTTCTGGGAGTTTTACCAAGAAACAAAGAACCAACACCGTGTTCGTGGCAAATGCTGATAAGGAAGCCTGTTTTATCGACTACGAAAACGTCGTTAACGCTTGGTGCACCGGAGGAGTTCCCTGTACCCCTACCGATTTGAAGTCGAGTTCAGGTTCAATTCAACTACTCAAGTCTTCTCGAAGTCGTCTATCAGTATGTCCCTCGCGATTTAACGATTCAGTTATAGGTTTGTGGAAGAAAGAGAATGATACCGATATGATTACGAACATAAAGAAGCGCAAAAGCCCATTTTGTGATAGGGAATCCGTATCGAAGAAACAGAGTATGGAAGTGAAGGTGGGTGAAATGTACACAAGTTCATCTAGTTCTGCAACTTCAATCGGTAATAATAATTTTAACAGCAATAAGAAGGCGAGAAAGACAATCAAGAATAAAAACAAGAAGGAATCTTATGGACATGAAGATTTTCATACAGGTGAAATTGTGTGGGCAAAATGCTCGAATAGGTTTCCAGCTTGGCCAGCTATTGTGATCGATGCACAACAAGAAGCTCCTGTATCTGTAAAGAAAGCCCGCATTCCAAACACTGCTTGTGTTATGTTTTATGGGTATTCAAAAAGAGGAACAAGGGTAATCTCTTCCCCCATTCAGCCACGTGTCTACATGTCGTGCTTCTGTCAATTAATTTCAGCCCTAATAAGTCTCGCTGTTATAATGTTTCAGGATTATGCATGGGTGAAAGACGGAATGATATTTCCTTTTTTGGAGTATTTAGACAGGTGTGTGCTTTAAACGCTTGTACCTTTATGTTTTCAAGAAACTAATAACGAGTTTTAATGACTTAATTTCTCTTCAGATTTCAGGGACAAACTCAATTGTACGGATGCAAGCCAGATGATTTTCGTAAGGCAATAGAAGAAGCATACTTTATTGAAAATGGGAATTTGAATTCCGGCTATGAGGACAAACAAGAATGTTCAAGTGATTCCGATTCCGCTTCCGCTTCTGATTCCGACTCCGAATCTGATTCGGATTCCGATTCTGAACCCTATTTGGATTCCGATTCCGATCTTGTTGAGATCGAAGTGGGAACTGCTACAGAACGTCATCTTAAATATTTCAAAAGTAAAAAGGCAAGTGTTTTTGCATACATTTCTTGTACACTTTTGTAGAAACTATAATACTCATATGTTGATTTTCTTGTTTCAGATTGTTTATAATCAGAAAGAGGAGCAACCTTGTGAGAGCTGTGGTTTGATTTTTCCAATTGAAACAATGAATAAAGCTTTGTGTGAGCGTTGTACTCCAAAGGTTAATAAGAATATCATTACAGAATGCAAAAGTCAACCTTCTGTTGACCAATTAGCTGTAGATAAATCCCCACCAAAACTCCGGTATTCAAACTTTTCATGATGGAATGTTGTCAATTTTTAATTTCGTTTTAGATTTAATTCTGATGATTTGATATATTTTCAGCAGATCAACAGAAAATAATGCTCAAAGTACATTGCCTGATAAAATAAGCGTCATCTGTAACAACATGGAAGGGATTTATTATCCAAATCTTCATTTGTAAGACCACAGAAACAAAAAAAAAACACAATTATGATATAATATAATACTTATACTTAATTGATTTATATTCTTTTTATCAGAGTTGAGTGTAAATGTGGTTCATGTGGGACAAGAAAACAAACCCCATCTGAATGGGAACGCCATACTGGTTCCAGAGCAAAAAAGTGGAAAGTCAGCATTAAAGTCAAGGGTTCAATGTTACCCCTCGAAAAAATGGTGATTTTGTTTTTTTTTTTTTTTAATTATGATAATATGAATACAGAATACTGCGTATGTTTTGATTTATTATCTTTTAGTAACATTTTAACATTGCAGCTTGCAGATAATAACGTTCATTATGTTAAGTCTTCTCCTTTAGATGAACAACAGTTATTTTCATTTCTTCAAGGTAATTAATCTTATTCATATGATTCTTTTGTTGTTGTTTAATTTTTATGAACGAAATTTATATATAAAATGTTTCTGTAACAATTACAGAGAAGTATGAACCTATTCATGCAAAATGGACAACTGAAAGATGTGCTATATGTAGATGGGATGAAGATTATGATATCAACAAAATTATCATCTGCAACAGGTCTTTCTTTCTTTCAATTATCTCGTCTACTTTTATGTTAAAAATCCCACATGTAAAATAGAATAATCAAACTCTTTTTTTATTGGTCCAGGTGTCAGATAGCTGTGCATCAAGAATGTTATGGAGTTAGAGATGTCCATGACTTCACATCTTGGGTTTGTAGGGCATGTGAAACACCTGAAATTGAAAGAGAATGTTGTTTATGTCCTGTTAAAGGTAAATGAATCATAAACTTTTTGGGATTATTTTTAGTAATTAATTAAATTTTCATTTTTTTTAATTATAGGTGGGGCTATGAAGCCAAGTGATATAGAACCATTGTGGGTCCACGTCATCTGTGCATGGTTTAGACCTGAAATTGCTTTTTTAAGTGATGAAAAAATGGAACCTGCAACTGGGCTTTTAAGGATTCCACCTGATTCATTTGTAAAGGTAAAAAAGCATTAACATAACAAGTTTTCATGCCATTTCATAGTGCACATGTAATTAATAAATACATTGCTGACGTGGCAAGTTTTTTTATTTTTGTGGGTAATATTGTAGGCCTGTGTAATTTGCAAGCAAGTTCATGGTTCTTGCATACAGTGTTGCAAATGTGCCACTTTCTTTCATGCTATGTGCGCTTCACGTGCTGGATACTGTGTTGAAGTAAGTTGACTAGTTGACTTTTTTTTTTTCTTGTAAAATAATAGTTGTGATTTGTTAAAGATTTAAAAAAATTTCAGCTGCATTCGTCTGAGAAAGGTGGGATTTACAACACCAAATGGACAACATACTGTGCTATCCACAGGTATACTTTTTACAAGAATATGATGGTGTTATAAAATCTGATCATGTTTATGATTTTTAATGTTAATGACATTTTGTTTATAAAAAATATTGATATACAGAACACCAGCAGACAATGGGATTGTGATCAGGACTTCATCAGAGGTGTTTTGTGCAACAGGATTGCTTCAGAAACAGAATCAAAAACAGAGTTTTAGAGGCTCAAGACTCGTGTCATGTGCAAATGTAAATCTTTCTACTTCTTCAACATCAGAGAACAATGAGTTTGAGCCTCTATCTGCTGCCAGGTGTCGCATTTATACAACATCATCCACCAAGGTAAAAAGTTATATTCCATTAAACTTTTCTCTATTTTCTCACGTAAAAACTCCTTTTTAAAATTTCCAGAATGATGTAAAGGAAGCGTTATTTCACCGAGTTATGGGCCCAATTCAGCATCCTGTAGATGCCATCGATTCCTTAACTTCCAACAGTGTAATTTTTCCACTCAGTTGTTTTATTAGGAGTGGGTATTTTGGTAATTTAGTAATTTAACGTGTTTTGTTTACACTTAATAGGAAGTTCAAGATTTGAATTCGTGTTCTACATTCAAGGAAAGACTCGACGGTTTAAAGAGAATGGAAAAACATCGCGTCTGTTTTGGTAAATCTGGAATACATGGGTGGGGCCTGTTTGCACGTAGGAAGATACAAGAAGGAGAAATGGTATTTTTTGTTTTTAAATTATATTATTTTTATTAAAAAAAAATAATAAAATTAAATTTTGTGTTTCTTTTTCCGTATCTGGAGGTTCTTGAATACCGGGGTGAGCAGGTGAGGCGCAGTGTCGCAGATTTGAGAGAGGTCAAATATAGATCTCAAGGGAAAGATTGCTATGTGAGTTTTCCTTTTTTTTTTTTTTTTTTTTTTTAATAAAGTTTCACATACGTTTATATTTTCTTTTTTGTTGATTGTGATTAATTAGTTTTTTTTAATACAGTTGTTTAAGATTAGTGAGGATATTGTAATTGATGCCACAAATAAGGGTAATATGGCACGCTTAATTAACCATTCGGTAAGGTTCCTATTTGGTTTGGTATATTATTTATTTTTAAAAGGCTACCTTTTATTTTTATAGGTTAATAAATCTAAATGTTGTTATTATTATTATTATTATTATTATTATTATTATTATTTTTGTTGCAGTGTATGCCGAATTGCTATGCTAGGATTTTGAGTATGGGTGAGGAGGAGAGCCGGATAGTCCTCATTGCTAAAAGCAATGTTGCCGCTGGTGATGAATTGACGTATGACTTTCGTTGACCATTTTTTTTTAATTTCATTTTCATTTTGTGGGTCCCATTTATATTCTGTCAAAATCAATAACGAAATTTGTTTTTAATAAAGTTTTCGTGTCACTTACATGTATGTAATTATATGCTTATATGGTGCGACAGGTATGACTACAAATTTGATCAAGATGAGCAAGATGAAGTTAAAGTCCCTTGTTTATGTAGAGCCTCCAATTGTCGGAACTTCATGAATTAGTTACTAGTATATAACCAAAGTTTTTTTTTTTTTTTTTCTTTATAGCATGTAAATTCTAGTCATATCTTCCAACGTTTTTCATTCAAATGATTATCGAGTATTCTTTTTCATGGAAAGAAAGATTTTGATTTGTTTGTTTGTTTGTTTATAGTCAATTATTTAGTCGTACACATTCTTTACTCATTGAGGCAAATGATGATGTAACTTGACAAAATAAAAATAGAAAAGCCGTGTAACTTGTATACATAAACAAAACACAACTGTCAGAGCTCACAAGCTTTTGACTTTGGATTTATGTTTCATATATATATATGATTGCCTTTACCAACCACATGTCCTTCCTTCTTCAATAAGTCATCTTTTAACACACGACAATCGAGGAGCATCCATGGATGCCTATGCCTACGCCTATGTCTTCACAAAAGCTATCTTCTATCTTCTCGTGATTCCTCTTTTTTCTTCAGCACAACCAAATTGCCCACTTTCATATTGTGGTCAAAACCTAAACAACGTTCGTTTCCCCTTCCGGTTAATCGGTCAACAACCCCAAACCTGCGGATTTCTGGGCTTCGATCTCCGATGTGTAAGACCCAGTACGTTGCTGATCAACATCTCCTCCTCCGGCGAGTTCGCCGTCAGGAGCATCAACTACCGATCACAAGCTATGCGAATCTACGACCCTTTAAACTGTCTTCCGGCTAGGCTGTTGAATATCGACCTCTCCAACTCACCTTTCTCAGCTGCTAGCTACATGCAAAATTACACTCTTTTGAGATGTCCAAATGATGCGAGTTTGTCTGGTTATAGGTATACCACCGTTGATTGTTTGAGTAATTCGAGTTTTACAACTCTTGCTATTGCTTCAATGAATGATGTGAGATCATTGAGTGGTAATAACACCGGATGTCAGATCGTCGGACTTAATGTCAGGCTGCCGGTGACGTCGGAGCAATCAAATCAAGGGTTTACAACACGGATCGATGATGATATGATTTTGATATGGTCGAAACCTGATTGTGAAACTTGTGAAGCAGCTGGTGTTTCCTGTGGTTATGCGAATATTTCCTCATCTGAGACAAGATGTTTCTATAACAACGGTATAACATCGATCATCGATTCATATCTTTCTTGACCCATTTGGAATTCGATCTAAAGATTATTGATTTTTGATTCACAGGTGTTCCGAAACCTTCCCACATATTCAAAATCATAGCTTTTGCGATGGCTATACCAGCCATGGCAGCTTCCATTATGATCGCTTGCCTCATGTGTGCAAAGGATAGACGGCGGGGTGACTTCTTCAGTACCCAGAGAACCACCACCACCGTGGCCCCAGTGGACGACGGCGTTGTGCCACCAACCATCGTTGGACTTGACCAGATGACCATCGAGTCATACACGAAAGTGGTGCTGGGCGAAAGCAAACGGCTCCCTGGACACGATGATGCAGTGTGTCCGATATGCTTATCGGAGTATCATGTGAAGGAGAGTGTAAGGTGTATACCGGAGTGTCTGCATTGCTTTCATGCAGAATGTATTGACGAATGGCTTAAGATGAATGGATCATGTCCGATATGCAGGAATTCACCTTCTCCTGTTCATGTTGATCAATCCTAGCACGCATTTTTTTGTATGTTTTTGATTATTAATTTGCTTCATTTTGTTAATCGGATGATGTAGATACATTATATACCATACTTTTGTTTTAAAGATCATACATTAAATTTGTATCAAACATGAATTATGATGGTGTAGGAGGAAGAGCGGTTGAATATTTAATAAAATGTCAATGGTAGGTGTAGGTAAAACATTCTGATCAAAGACGTAGGGGTATGACTAGATCAAAAGTCAGCTCAATATTGTAATGAAGGAAGTGAGAACAAAGTTATGGAGGTTGATTGACAAATCAGTTCAAAGACGTAGGGGTATGCCTAGATCAAAAGTCAGCTCAATATTGTAATGAAGGAAGTGAGAACAAAGTTATGGAGGTTGATTGACAAATCAGTTTTTATTTTAGAGGTTGGCTAAAAATGCTAGAACCCTATTTAAGAATCTTTTTAGGGTAAATTATATGAATGGTTCATATGGTTTGGGGTAATCTGCGTGATTCGTCCCTATAAATAATTTTTAACTCAGTCATCTCGACAATTTGTTTTTGTTTCGGATTTAGTCCTTTTTTTATTTGAAATGACCACATTACCCTTCTTGATATTTTTAATCAGATTTTATTATTGAATTAAATTTAAAAAACATTTATAAAATGAGAACCCGATCCTACCATCTCAATAGTCACTCCACCTGGTCATCACCGACACCTGCAACACCGTCACCGCTTTCGGTATCCTCTACTATCACCACCGTCGGTCTCCTCCACCACCACTACCCAATAGCGACCCTCTCTGAAAAAGTTGAAACCAGAATTTTGTGTTTTTCTTTCATTGACATCTAAGGTTTTTGCCCCTGCATCTTGTAATCACTCCAGCAAATACCCACAAGCTCTTATTCAGCTTGCACACATCAGTTCTTGCTAGCAAAACCAACAAAACAAAATTTAGATACCATATAAAGCTAAACAGTGATTCTGATTCCTGATTCATATACAACCCCTTTTCGATTTCTAATTCCCACACACAAAACCCTAATTCGTAACCCTATAAACCATATTATCATCTACCAGATTCCTGATTCAATAGTATTTGCTCCACCGACCACCAAATTCTAATTTGCAAAAACCCACCTAGAAATTCATTACATTTACTCCAAATTCGCCATATTACATACTTGCTGAAGTCGTTTTTGGCAGTCAAGAATATGTGATCTCTAAAAACCAGATACGATACCAAAGCTTAATTTTTAAACCGAAGATAAAACATATGCAAAGCTGATTTTGCAACTAAAGGGAACTTATCTCAGGCCATCCCCAGAACCCTAAACCAGATCAGTACACAAACATTGACAATCGATTTGTAAATAGCAAGATTATCGAATAACCAATAATCAATACTCGATTATTGCAAATTAATAATCGATGTTTGTTTACTAGCGAAATAGAGAGGGCAGAGTACATCGACGGAGTAGAGAGAGGTCGATGGACGATTTCTGGAGAATAGTAGTTGGTGGATGTTGCTTGACGTTGACGATAGGACAGGCGACAACAAGATCGTGGTGAATCGAAGGCTTGTAGTGATATTTAGGTCACAAAGGGGTTATTTTGGGGTTCCACCACCGATGAAGTGAGAGGTAGAAAGGGAGAAGAATCAGATGCAGCTTGCCAGTGAAGATATGAGAGGGAGGAGTTCAAGTCGCCGGTGAGGAGGATTAGGGAGGCAAACACGATAGTGAGGAGGTGAGGATATGAGATGCGAGGTGTAGATTTCTAATATGAATTGTTTTAACAAATACCTTTTCTAAATAAAAAATTAAAAGTAAAAATCTGAATATTAAATTGAAAGGGTAAAATTGTCTTTTTATGTTTAATAGGGACCAAACGCGTGATAAAATCATATAATAGGGATGGTACGAGTTAAAAATTCTTCCTAGGGACCAACCATGCAGATTACCCCAAACCATAAGGATCATTCGTATAATTTACCCATCTTTTTATTAAGGACATTTTTGTCAAAACTAATGTTTTGATACCTCTAACATTATAACTATTATACAAAAAACTAATCGACTAAATTACATGTCCCTCGTGCAAGTATCAAAAGGCATGTTTAGTGCCTATTTTCAAAAATTAATTTAGACCATCTCTTACATCGTAAAAAGTTGCACGTTTCATCCCTTATTAGTTTACATTTGCACCCTTCATCCATCATGAGATATGAAATGACTATAATGTCCTTTTTAATTTTTTTTTCATTTATTTTTTACATTTTTATTATTATTACTCATTATTAAAAAATAATCTTTTAATCATTAACAAACAATTTCTTTCTCTCTTTCTCTTTTGTTGAAGAACACACAACCACCACCGAAAATCTCAAGCCTTAAGTAAAACCAACACACAAAAATCATACCTAATTCAAGCCTCACCTTACCATTGAACGTTCACAATCCTTCATTTCTACCTTAATTAGCCACCATTGGACCACCATAACCTACTAAACTAGCAGCCAACACCACATCTGTCATCTAAAAAAAACCTGCAACTCAATTGAAGGTAAGAAGGGTGAACCTCGATTTTTTTTTTTTTTTTTGGGGGGGGGGGGGAGAGAGAGAGAGAGAGAGAGAGAGAGAGAGAGAGAGGAGGAGGAGGAGGAGGAGGAGGAGGCTAGAATCAAAATCAAAGAAGACCCTTACAATCGATTTTGAGAAGAAGAGGGATACCTACCTGCGGCCGATCTAGAGAGAAGGAGAGGTTGCGATTTTGTGGGTATTTGATCCAATGTTTTAAAAACCGGTTTGAACCGCCCGGTCAAACCAGTTGGACCGCGAACCGGGGGAGGGAGCGGTTCAACAATCACCGATTTTATATCGATTTCTGAACCGTCTTGAACCGGATAATTTTTAGAAAAATCTGGTTGAACCGAATAAAAACATCTAGAAACAAACTATTTTAAAAAAAAACTTTGGTGATTTTTTCAAATCTATTTAGTTTTTCTAAATAAAAACATATGGTAAATGCTATAAAGTTTTTTGATGTATTTCTATTCATCTAAAACTATACTTTGTTTCGGTATTATACTTTATTTTCTTTTTGACGTATATGAATTGATGTTATACACTAAAAGTTTTGATTATGTGTTATTATAATGTATTTGAATTGATTTACAACTTATTTTTATATATATTTAATGTTTGGACTTGTAAACATCAAATCATGATTTATATGTGTAAATATGTGTAACAAAATAGAAAAAAAGATGAAAATTATAGAAATTGGTTGACCCGACGGTCGAACTGAGAACCGGTCACCATACCGGTTCAACTAAAAACTAGTTTTTAAAACATTGATTTGATCAGAATTTGAAACAGAACAAGAAGAAGGAGACGGCTTGGTCTCTGTGATGCACACATAACTCACATACATTAAAGTCCACTGATCATTTTATTTGGGTTAAGTATTTCCTTTTATAGGATCGCATACAA